ATCGGTGTCAGGAAAAGTTTCCAACAGAGTGTTGCTCGGCCAGATAGAAAATTCAGTAGACATTCAACCTCGAGATCACCGTTCTGGATTCCTTAAGGATTTGTCGTGCACAGACCGAATCTCTACACTACGAATCATTTCTGGGCAGTCAATTGGATGGAATTCGTCAGTGTACACTAACTTTCTTGATTATGAGAATGAGTTTAACGGTGTGAATAGGAGAACATTACGGAACCTTTTTCGACACTATGTTGTACCTGAGTAAATCGTCAATATCATACGGAATTCATACGATGGACTGTAGTGCAAGGTGATGCATGGAGGACAGCTGGCAGATACATTCAAGTGAAAATCGATGTCAGGGAAAGCTACTTACCCTCTGTCTTCTTTTACTACTAGTGTTTGACTGGATTATGAGGACCCCAATATTCAATGAGAAGCACAGAATACAATGAACAGCTTGGAATCAATTAGAAGATTTGGACTTCGCGTATGACCTTGCCCATCTATTTCATACACACCAACAACTTCAGATGGAAACAAACGTTGTAGCAGCAGCCTCTAAATCAGTAGGCCTCAACATACATAAGGGAGAAAGTAAGATCCTGAAATACAACGCAAAGAACACCAACCCAGTAAAACTTGATGACCAAGCCCCTGATGAGATGGAAAACTCACACATCTGGATAACATCATCGATTAACGTGAGGGATCCGATGAAGACATAGATGCAAGGATTGAAAATGCAAAGACATCATTGTTATAGTTGAAGAACGTGTGGAACTCAAAGCAAATGTCAAGCAACATCGAAATATCAATCTTCAGCAAGAAAGTCGAGACGGTCCTACCGTTCGATGAAACTTGAAGAAGCACCACAATCATCGTTGAAAATTCACAAATATTTACAAAAAATTGTTTAGGCAATCTGCTCAATGTCCGTTGGCCGGATACCCCAGGTATGGTCAGCCAATTTGATTTTTTTACACGAAGTCAAACAGTAGCTTTGTAAAATATGAAAATCGTACATCACACACATTATTTCCATATATCTCACCACTTTTGCCTTCCACACTTCATCATTCTTTCGACCCTGTTTTTATTTTGATTCCTATTCCTTTTGCTTTCTCTTTTCTTTATTTCACTTTTCTGGTGGTGAGCAGTTTAACTACACTTCCAGTTACACACTACTTACACCTCTCTGAATGAGTAGTGCATCCTATAGTACGGAATCGGCCTAAAAATATATTAGATTCACAATGGGATAACAGGTGAAGGATAATACTACTTCCGAAATTAGTTTTGTTAAAATAGACATAGTAGCCTGAGAGTGCCAAAGAGATAAGCAAGGTAACATCCCACTGTGTTTTACAAATGCCATCCAGTAGTGGTTTTCTGAGCCGATGATTTTATTAGCATGTTCATACAATAGTGTAACAACTCTCAAGTTAGAATTTTCTGTTAGAGAATAATTTCCCAAAGAACTAAAGAAGTTGGACCGTTAAACGTCGAGGTGATATAAAGTATCGCCTTTCTCAGCCAGATTAACTTTGTAAATGCAGTACTTGGAGGTTTCGCCTTCCCATTCACTGTTTGCAAAGCGGTGTAGTAGTGTTATAGTGTAGAATCTTTAAATTCAGATAGGTGATGAACGATAAATTTTCAAGTACAATAGTTTTCTGTAAAACGTGGATTACCACTGCTCACCGACGGTGATCTTTTATCGGACGACTTCAGTGACTATATGATTTCAGCCGCGACACTATAAAGCATTACCTCATGTGGTACTCTAGTTACTCCTTCAGATTTTCATTTTGCAGATAGCCAACCATACACTGGTGTAGAGTTCTTTTCCAAAATTTTAGGTAGCGTGACCCCTGAATTACTTGCGTCCGTTTTCAGTGTTTTCCTGTATGTGTCATCTGAAACTGATATCTGCATCATATCCCCATATCTTAACAAACATGTTCTTTTGGAACTTGTTGACAAGGATTTAAGGAGTTACTGGTATTAAATATGAACACTGCTTAGCTTCAAACTTTTAGCCTGTGCGTACTGAAGCATTTAGAAAAAGTATAATCAAGTTAGATCACATAACTCATGATTTTCTACACCTTAAAAAATCAATGTCAAACAACACTTAAGAGATTATCTAATGAAGATAGAACACGACCGATAATGTGAAGCTTTCTGCTGGAAGTGATCGCGACGAAAACTCCTACCTTGTCATTAAAAAGAGGGCCACTGTCTAGTTTAGCTGTATAGGTAATGATATCGATTACTTCATTTTCTATTATTCTATGGATTCCGTCATTACTAATTGTTCTGCTTTGTCCATCTGATTCAGGAGTAACATAAGAAAAGCCATGAACGCCCATAATCGAAAATGTTCTCCTACTATCCAGACACGGATTTGATGGAATGGAAAGTTTTATAATTCTGTCTACCAAAGTTTGAAATTTTTAGATTTGTTTATTCTGGTCACAAAAATGGTGGCGATCGGAAGATGATGAAGGATATTGGTAGGGAAGGTACATTGAAGAATGTTTTTCAAACCAAAACCTGCCTTTAAAGTGATCATACTAAGTGAAGTGGGGAGCAGAGCTTCTACTACAGATAAAAGGCAAGGCCTAGTATAAATCGGAATTATGTAGGGGCATTGGTTCCTAGCCACATGATCTCTGAAGCCGAGCATATAATTACTGAAAAGATGTATATTCAACACGTGACACTTAGCGAAGTTCAGCACTGGTGGACGTGGAAACATTCATTCAATCGGACAACATGACTCAGCCTTCTAAACGTGGTAATCAATTGTAGCTTATTGCTACTCACACTAAATATATTATCTTATCCCCAGCCAAAATGTATTCATCAGAATTACTAAATATCATATTGTTATTTGTCACGATAGGATGTGTAAGTGCAGATTATGATGTGAATTCCACGTAAGATCTTAGGGGTTAGGTAGTCACATTATGACAAATCAACCATTTTGGGACTAGACTTATTATTAAAGTAGTACCAATATCAAACTAGATCAGAATTCTACAAATTCTCCTAAATGTTTCAGAACACAGCTATTTATGCGGACTGGTATAAAGATGAAGTGACATATTGCGATTTGACATGAGGCATTTCCAGACTAGGCAATCAGCTTAAACACAAAATAATCCGAAATACCTACATAGGTATTTTCATACTAGCTACACTGACTCTCGATGTACAACTAGACTAGAAAAAGCGTCTAATAATTTGAATGCAGTAAAACACGAGAAGCTGCCAAGCACAAAAACATATCATCATTCAGTCAAGGAATATAAGAAATATGATTCTAGCATGAAATAAGGAACTACTTTGCAAACGTCCAGCACCAAAGATCCTACTTTGGCAGCAGGCTAATAATTGGTTCCTAATCACTTACTTTTGGCTGCTTCAGATCCAAGTCAACATGGAAGCCTATAAGAAAAGGAGGCCTGTGCTCTCAAACAGCCAGGCGGGGATTTTACCAGCCTGAAAACGAAAGAATCTTTATTACTTATTTCGCCACTCAAACAAACTGGGAGCTTACTGGCTAGTTATATCCTTCTGTTCTAGTATTAGGTGATGGTTTGGAAAAGGTTAATCTAAATCCCAGGTAAGTTAGAAAAACGGAAACGTTTCGGTCAGGAATTTCGTTGGATATTGCAAAATCTGCTCCATGATCCTGAGGCAATGCACAGAGGGTGCCAGTGTACTGACATATGCTTGTTATGCCAATAACCGAAATAACGGTAACAGAAAGAAGTATGGTAACAATCTATTCTCCCTGAAAGTTCCAGAGGGATTAGAGGAAAAGCTAGCTTGTTACTGACCAGATGCACTTTTCCAGTACTGCTGAAGGAACTGAAGGGGCTGATTAGTGATCAAACGAGAAAATACGTTTACAAAAGCAACTACTGCACTCAACCCTTGTAACGAAGATTGCGATGATGTGGTTTACCGACCGAACTTCGCTTATTTCCGGGTGTTCTATACCAAAGGTAAACAAAATAGGTTAGCCTGACCTCGGAATCAGGAGTTTAACGAAACCACTCCTGCTTGTGATCTTCATCATCGACCTCCTAGACAAGAGTGGTTCACTGACTTCCATACATGGCTGTAGTGGCATCGGACCGTAACCACATGACCTTTGAAACCAAGTATATAATTACTGAAAAGAGTTGTATTCAACAATTGACACGAAGAGGTGTTTAACAATAGAAAAGGTCGGAAGAATTAACTTAATTCATCGGGTGGCATGGCTCAGCCTTGCATGCGTGTTTATTCTGTATAACTGGTCTTTACTCACATTAAATATATTGATATAACCAGAGATAGCTTGGACGCCAGCTCCAACTACATAGGGTTGCAACAAGGCGAATGTAACGCTTCATTTTATCTGAAGATAAGTAAGCAACATCACACAAGGACTATTCCTGACACTGTAAAACGTAATTATGGCACCACTTTGAACCCCGCAAAACTAATGTGTCCTCTCTATTCAAAAGAGACAAATATCATGGATCGGATACACGTCTCTTATAAATTTTCTCCACCTATTATTCTTACACTTCAGTCCATTGGTATTGTTTGGGCTATTAATTAATTAATCGATCAATCTGTTTATTTCACCTGATCATCGTCTTCCCTTAGCTCTTCCTCAGTCTAATCCTTTCTTTTAGGATTTTTCACAATGGGATCAATCAACGTCATAGCTGGTTCCAGAGATCTTAGTGCCCTGAAATAAACACTCAGATTTCAAGATACACAAATTCACAAATTACTGCTGAATCAACCAGAACTACTGAGGTCCCCATGAAGACACTTGGAAAGATCTGGAATTCAATTGTAACAATCATTAAGGAGCAATAGAAATTATATGATTTACACTTACTTTTCCGAAAGTTATTGGATACTGAGAGACTGGGAATTTTGACTGTTGAGGGTCATTGGTCCACACTGTTCTCATATCGGGTTAGTTCTTGCTCCAATAAGCTGTAGTTTGGTGAGTTTGGATGCATAAACATCCCTTAATTCATGTAAAAACAGTCTCTTACGTTTTCTGGTCCTGGAAAGATATCCACCAAACTAAGGATTCCATCAGTAGTATATTTAATGATGAAACTTATGATTGAATCTTAACTTCAGAACAATGTCAGACCCCCATGGATGGACTCCAAATTTATAAATCCTAATCTAATTTATCCCCGTTGTTCGATGTGTGATGATAAAGACAGATTAGGACAATGCATAATTAACCCCATGGGGTTAGGGGTTTGATTAATTTTAAGTCTGTGCTTGTCCACGGTCTTCTCGAATTCAGTAAACCTTCGGAAAAAAGTTTGAACGTTTTGCTGAGGTTTTCTCGTCATACTTTATTACTGACTTTTCGAACAATAATACTTAGTACAAATTTTTCTCACAGATCATATACTCGTAGCGATGCCGATTGCTCCAAATACATATCGGGGTGTTTCCCAACCATCATGTTTAGCCAAAGTAAAGTTTGGATTTTTAATGGGGTTCTGTGTTGGTGTAGCAACTGGTGCTATATTCGGCGGATTCAATTGTTTAAGGTAAGGTTTTTCAAGACCAAATTCTCTACTGTCACTAATGTTTATCAGTGAAATTTTCATGGAATATCAAATTTTCTTTAGTTTTCTAGAAAATTAAACTAGAGTAAACTTATTAAAACACCAGTTTCCCAGAATAACATATAATTTATATCACCTCATGCCTTGGCAAGTAAAAATCGTAAGATTCGCTTCTCACCTCTTTGGGTGAAAGTTAATTGGCATACCTACCTACACCTATTCATAATCATATCTTTTGGTTTGAATGCTGTATTCTTTCTTATGCTACTTATCTTGCTAGTTAGTTCCGTTTGGGCTAACGTCATATGTAAAAACTTTTACTAATGCACTTACCCGGTCCAAATGCCCTGGACGGCCGAGAGTGGAGAGAGTTCGCTCTCTCTCTCTCAATGCTCTGACATGGATCTGACATAACTACTGCCAGGGAAGTCCTATCCGCTGCCTTCTCGTAGCCGGGAGGGGGTTGTTTACGAGATTGAAAGGATCAAAAGCGAATGTCCGGTGCTTTAACCAGGTTCGTTGATACGAAGGATCTACCTAAAAAGAGTTAAAAAACCCTGATTTCAAACCAATGGTGCGCATGGGCTCCAGGATCTTGAGGAAAATGGTGTATGAACCTATTGTTGGTCACCGGCTGCTATGAAACTGCACCTCCTAACGTTGCTCCACTGCCTTGTGGATTAGACCTTTGGGTCAAAAGCTCGGATTGTGGCTCCCTGAGAGAACCGACAGCTTCGGTTTGGGCACCCGTGCAGTATTCCAGCCCTCATACAAATAGAACGGTTTTTTGTGGTGCATATGTATTCGGTGCCTCATTGTACCAATGTTCATGTGCTTAGATAATAATAATAATAATAATAATAATAATAATAATAATAATAATAATAATAATAGTATTAATAATAATAATAATAATAATAATAATATGCAACAAACTGACATGATTTCATTGTCGAAACCTATGAAAAATCTATGTTAACGATGTATACTGAAGATTTTTGTCTTTATTTTTTGTAGATACGGTTTACGTGGACGTGAATTAATTCAAACGGTTGGCAAAGGCATGTTTCAAGGTGGAGGTACTTTTGGCATGTTTATGGCTATAGGAACTGCCATCCGTTGTTAATAATTCTCATTAGTTTTTTGACATCTCAATTCCATGTATGCCTTCTTCGATCTGTTTTGTTCTTCTCAAATGCAGAAATGACCTGTATCTACTAACATTCTATGGTGTGCTTATGATGAGGAAACAAAGCTTAGATTTAGGAGTCATAGTATTTTACTATCTACTTATCTTTTCTTGTTCCGAACATTGATTCGTTTTAATGTATGACTGAATTTATTGGGTATGAAATATTTTCTAAAGTTGCTGATAAGTTTTTTTCAATAATCCATGTACATAAATATACATTACACCTTAGTGATTAACGTCTCTGTTGTATGCTTTTGTTTTCAATAAATATCGTCATTTTCATTTTGTTAGTGTGTGGGCTGTGATACTGCCCGGGTACCCAGACCGAAGCAGGTGGTTTTCTTAAGGGGCAACCTCCGAGCCTTTGACCTAAAGGTCTGACCGACAAGGCAGTGAAGCATCGTAAGGAGATGCAGTCCCATAGAAGCCGGTAGCCGACAGTTGGTTCATACGTCATTTGTTCCCTCAGGATACTGGAGCCCATGTGCACCATTGATTTGGAATCCGGTTAAAGCGCCGAACATTCGCTTTTCGTTCTTTCATGTTCGTAAACAACACCCCCGCCACGAGAAGTCAGTGAGTAGAACTTCTCTGACAGAGGCTGTATACGCGTGGCCGTGTGAGAGCATCTCGAGGGGGCGGGAGGGCCCATTCCACTCTCGGCCATGCCAAGGCATTTGGGGGCAGCACTAATCGATCGGATCCCCATTAACAGTCGGTTATGTGCTGTTAGACTAGAGAGCTCCATCAAAGTGAGAAGAAATCGGTGTGAGAAACGATATCCTTTCGTCATCTCCGCCTATGCCCCGACAGATTGCAGCCTGGATGCAATGAAAGGTGAATTCTACCACCAGTTAACTGTTCTCCAGAAAGTACGTTCGATAGATATCGTAGTACTAGCCGGAGACTTGAATGCTCAGGTCGGGCGTCTAGGCACAGACGAGAGTCGTTTAGGTGGCCGATGGGGACTCGTTGGTCGCAGGTCAGATAACGGGGACCGTCTACTGCAACTGTGCACAGACCACAACCTTTTTCTGGCTAGTACTAACTTTCGACACAGTCATCGCCGATGTGCCACCTGGCGTCCTCCCTCTGCATCCCAAGCCTGGACTCAGATTGATCACATTGCGGTCAGCAACCACTGGCGTGGTTGTGTACAAGACTGCCGCTCCTTTTGGAGTACCTATCTGGACTCCGATCACGCCTTGGTCTGTGCCAATCTTACCTTACTTTTCTGTGGACAACGAAGTGACCGTCAACAACGGATTGATGTTAGCAAGCTGGTTGCAACTTCTGTTGCTAGTAAGTATCGAACCGAGCTAGTTTCTAGGCTAGCTACCATTCCACCGAAAAGTATAGATGAGCATTGGTTGCAATTGCATGACGCCATGAAAATGGCGGGTACAGTCAATTGTGGGTTCGCGGAACGTCCCGCTTTTAAGCACTGGGTTTCTTCAGGTTCCTTACAACTCATTGAAGCCCGTCGGTCTACTCCGGGTGACCGTGAGTTTGACCACAAACGAAGGATGTTACGTAATGAAATTGGGCAAAGCTTGCGTAATGACCGAGAAGCCTGGTGGTCGGAGCGTGCTGATGAGCTGGAAGCAGCAGCTGCATCTGGCAACTACCGGAAGCTCTTCTATCTCATCTGAGCCACTGGCAGTAAAACGTCTGGTGTGAGCGAAACAATCTGAGAGGATGACGGGATGCCAATCACCAACATCCATCGACGTCTTGGACGATGGGCAGAATTCTTCGAAGGGCAGTTCAACTAACCTGCTGCTCCGGCAACATCGGTCAGACTGTCCTGCCCTCTATGGCCGGTGACGACTGATCCACCAAATGAGGCGGAAGTCCGTAAGGAACTCCAACTCTTGAAGCGCTACAAATCACCGGGTCCAGAGGACTTACCTCCGGCTCTTTTTAAAGATGGTGATAACTTTCTGGCTAAGGAATTGACTGTGTTGTTTACGGGGTTCTGGGAACTAGAGAGTGTGCCAACGTCATGGAATGAGTCGATAGTTGTCCCTATCTTTAAAAATGGTTTACATCGTTGTTGTAACAACTATTGGGGGACAAGTCTACTTCCGATTGCGTCCAAGCTATTGGCTTCCGTCATACTTCGTAGGTTGTTGAAAACCCGAGAAAGATTGACTTGCGAGGAGCAGGCTGGTTTTCATTCTGGTCGAGGATGTGTTGATCATATGTTCACCTTCCGCCAAATGTTAGAACACCGTCATATTTATCAAAGGCAACAGTCGTAGTGTTTCTTGACATCAGGGCTGCCTTCGATTCGTTGGACAAGACTGTTCTCTGGGATTGTCTATTGAAGAAGGGTGTGCCTAAGAAGTTTATTAACATCCTAAAGGCCCTATATACAAACACCTCAGGTAGAGTGAGGGTATACAACCACCTTTCTCCATTGTTCCATTCACGAAGTGGGGTTAGACATGGGTTGTTTAATCACACCAATCGTCTTTAACTTTGCCATGAATGACATTTTGGGAACAGCTCTGATGGATGTAAGTAATAGCGGTGTGGATCTGTTGCCTAGAGAGACTTTTCGACCTTAAGTATGCAGATGATATTGTCTTACTATGCGATAATGCCCAAGCCATGCAATCCGCACTTAATCAGTTGGCAATCAATGTCCGTAGGTACGGTATGTGCTTCGAAGTGCAAAGTACTTCTACAAGACTGGCAGGATTCTAATCCTGTACTCATACTGGATGGTGAGCAGGTAGAAGTAGTCGAGAAGTTCGTGTATCTAGGTAGCTGCACAAGTGCTGGAGGTGGCGTGAGTGATGAGATCGATTCACGTATGGTGAAAGCCAGAGCGGCTTATGTCAATCTAGGCCATCTTTTACGCCTTCGTGATGTCACTTTGGCTGTAAAAGATCGGATGTACAACGCGTTGGTGAGAGCAGTTTTGCTCTATGCTTGTGAAACCTGGCCTCTCCGAGTTGAGGACGTTAGAAGACTCTCTGTGTTCGATCATCGCTTTCTCCGAAGGATTGCTGACATCCAGTGGCAACATCATGTCAGTAATACAGAGGTTCGGCATCGTGTGTTCGGGCACAGAGACGATAATCCAATTGGTGTCACCATCTTGGAACATCGACTCCGGTGGCTTGGATATTTTCTACGAATGTCGTCCCAGAGAATTCCACGTCGTGCATTATTTGTCGACGCTGGGACTGGTTGGAAAAAGCGGAGAGGTGGTCAGTGCATGACATGGTGTCGTGGTATGAAAAAGAGTTTCAAAGGGCTGGCTATTCGCTTTTTGTCCTCTCACTTTCGTAAGCAACACGCTTTCTATGAGAAGGCAGTGAATAGTACTTCCTTGACAGTGGTTGTATACGCGTGGCCATGTGAGAGGATTTCGAGAAGGAGAACTAACTCTCCCTACCCTTGGTCGTATCACGGCATTCGGGGGCTTCTATATAGTGAATAATATACATTATCCACTTAGGCGTCTACCTTTGTCCGGTGAATAATTCACACTATGTATCATTCTTATGTCAACACTTCTATGACTCACTGTTAAGCTTACACGTGATGCAATTTTGATATGTATATGCCGACCATGATGTCGTAAATATTAAAACAATGGATGACATTCATAATATTGTTTTTTACTTAATGGTGCTTTGATGTAAATCATGGAGAAACTATGTTCATTCTACATTTTGGTCTGTACATCTTGATTAGTCAATACGGATATATCGCGTTTGTTTTACATCGTATGTACCTAGTTTGAATGTCGTTTTCTTAGTGATCTTATCACATGTACAAACGATGTAAAGGTTTTTGTTGTGGTCTGGTTTAGTGGTTAAATTTTCGATACAAAGATTAACATGTTTAAAAGTCATTGAAAAAAAGAACGATTAAGGGATGTGGCAGCTATAGGTCATTAATTTCAATAGAATTAGTGCCTAACTATCAGGCTTAACTCTTACCTCATCGTATCGCTTGCTGGCAAGTGTCATGTAGCACGAGAACTAAGTCCAGAGTTTACTGCCGACTGCCTGTAACCACCTAAAGCCTTTTATAATAATATAATTACCCTATCGGTCTTCATCTTTTGATTACTTTGTTACTTGTTTGTCATTTTTCTGAATCGTTGTTACATGCTTTAATGTTTGAAGAATTACATTCTTATTGTGGTAAAACAATACTTCCTTGGTAAATAAATTAAGAAATTGGATATACTGTAGGGATTAAAATTAATTAAATGCCCTGATATGGCCGAGAGTGGGGAGAGTCCGCTCTCCCTCTCGAAATGCTCTCACATGGCTACGCGTATATAGCCTCGGCCAGGGAAGTCCTACTCACTGACTTCTCGCAACACGGGTGTTGTTTATGAAAATGAGAGGACGAAAAGCCAATGTCCGGCGCTTTAACCGGATCCCAAACCAATGATGAACATGGGCTCCAGTATCCTGAGGGAACAAATGATGTATGAACCAACCGTTGGTCACCGGCTTCCATGGGATTGCATCTCCTTACAATGCTTCACTGCCTTGTGGGTCAGACCTTTATGTCGAAGGCTCGGGGAGTGGCCCCTGCTTCGGTCTGGGCACCCGGGCAGTATCACAGCCATCACACCTATCGAATGAGATTTGTGTGGCGCATATGTATTTAGTGCCTCCTTGTACCAATATCTATGTGTTAAAATAAAATAAATAAAACGACACTAGATGTAGTTTATGTTCATACGTAGAATATCTGTTGCCTTCGGAAATCTAATTTTTTATTATCTATGGTAGATTTCGGCAGCATAACTAGAAGTCGGATTGTTTTGATGCAGTTGCCTTCATCCTTTATCTCCCATTTTTGTGTTCTGTCCCACGACTTTGTCCGTTACTATTAAAGTATATTTTTGATGTTTGGTCTTTCACTACGGTCACTCATGTTATGATATCAAATTCTTTGCTTTCCATCTTATTAATGTCCGCTTTTGATATACTAATTTTTAGTACAAACATGAGGTTAATATACATTAGTGAGGAATCTTTTACTATTTACAGCTGTTAAAATAAGACTTTTTCCAAACACAAATACATGGGATCACAATATTATGTAAAATATCAGATGACTGACATCAAGCTCTATTAATTGAGGTTGATACAGCATAATTACCAACCAGTTAATCATTATATTTATTTTATTATTGTCAAAGTTACTAGTGTACCGTCAGGTCTCTTCCTAATAATAGCCTCTCCCATTTTGAT